TGATGTTCTGCTTTCACTTGCTGACATACCATACATTTACTTACAAAAAGTCCTATCCCTCTTTTCATGTTTCTCCACCAAAATGTATTTCGAAGGTCTCGATACATTTTTGTACTGCTTGGATGTGCTGTGTAAGCAGTAGAATGTGCATCTTCAAGAATTTCTTTTCTTAATCCCTCATCCTTAGGAACACATAATCTGCCTTTATACATAAGTACCTTGTCCTCAGTTATTGCAAATCCCTTTCGCTTATCTGTCCCAACTTCAGCCATAATTTTACACAAAAATGGGTCATTCTTTTGGGCTTCTCTAATCCGTTCTCTAAGAGTGGGTTGAACCATTAGAGCTGCAACAATTGCTTCCTGTACAGAAGGTGCAACAACCTCTAGCCTCAAACTTTCAAATTCTTTAATTAATTGTTCTTGAGTGGGTAGAGCTGTCAACTTTCCAGTTGTTTTTCTACTTAGAGCATCAGCAACTACGTTGGCTTTACCTGGATGGTAAAGAATGGTGCAATCATAGTCTTTGACCAATTCCAACCATCTCCTCTGTCTCATATTTAACTCCTTTTGAGTAAAGAAGTATTTGAGACTTTTGTGATCAGTGTATATCTCACATTTTCCACCATAGAGATAGTGACGCCATATTTTTAATGCGTGAACTACTGCTGCAAGTTCTAAGTCATGTGTTGGATAATTCTGCTCATATGGTTTTAACTGTCTAGAGGCATAAGCAACAACCTTTCCATGTTGCATCAACACACACCCCAAACCTTGTTTAGAAGCATCACTGTATATAACAAAACCTTCTGAGCCGTCTGGTATTGTCAATACTGGCGCTGAAACTAATCTCTGTTTCAGTTCTTGGAAGCTACTTTCACACTTATCTGACCATTGAAACTTCACTCCCTTTCTAGTTAATTGTGTTAGTGGACCAGCTATCTTAGAAAATCTTTCAATAAATCTCTGGTAATAGCCAGCCAGACCCAAGAAACTACGAACTTCGCCTACATTGGTTGGTCTAGACCAATTTGTTACAGCTTCAACTTTAGCTGGGTCTACCTCAATTCCTTGAGCAGTGACCACATGACCAAGGAAGTCAATACGATCCAGCCAGAATTCACATTTTTTGAATTTAGCATACAACTTCTCCTTTCGAAGAGTATTCAATACCACTCTCAACTGTTCTTCATGTTGCTGTTTATCCTTTGAGTATACCAATATATCGTCAATGAAGACTATAACGAATTGATCTAGATATGGATGAAAAACTCGGTTCATCAAGTCCATAAACACAGCTGGTGCATTGGTTAAACCAAATGGCATCACCGTAAACTCGTAGTGCCCATACCGTGTTCTAAACGCCGTTTTAGGAATATCACAATCCTTTATCTTGAGTTGGTGATAACCTGATCTCAAATCTATTTTTGAGAACACCTTTGCACCCTTCAATTGATCAAAAAGATCCTCTATCCTTGGGAGTGGATATTTGTTCTTTATAGTCAAATGATTAATATCTCTATAATCAATACACATCCTCATTGACCCATCTTTCTTTTTAACAAACAATACTGGCGCTCCCCATGGGGATACACTTGGCCGGATGAAACCCTTATCCAATAATTCCTGTAGTTGTATCTTCAACTCCTGTAATTCTTTTGGTGCCATCCTGTAAGGAGCCTTAGATATTGGCGCTGCCCCAGGGGTCAAGTCAATTGTGAACTCTACTTGTCTATCAGGCGGTATACCAGGTAAATCCTCAGGAAAAACATCCACAAACTCATTAACTACTAGTACATCTTCTATTTTTCTTTCGGTTTGGGGCTTACTAATTATATTCAATAGAAATCCTTGACAAGTATTCTTTCTCAACATCTTTTGTGCTTTCATTGCAGATACTAATCGAGGTAGGGTCCCAATTTTTGTTCCAAAGAATCGAAAATCTTTTTCTCCAGGTTTTTGAAATAAAACTTCCTTCTTATGGCATAAGATGGTTGCATAATTTCTACCCAACCAGTCCATACCCAAAATTACATCAAAGTCTTTCATCCTCAAAAGGTACAAATCTGCCTTTAGTACTTTTCCTTCGATCTCTAACTTAACATCTTTAACCATTTGATTGGTATTAACCACTTCGCCTGAGGGTGTATTAACTTCTAAAATGTTATTCATTTTTAAAAATTCATTCCCAATCTTATCCATGAAAATTGTAGAAATAAATGAATGAGTGGATCCAGAATCCATAAGGACAATAGCAGGTACATCAAATACTGGTAACATACCTGTTATTACGTCTGTGTTCTGATCCTCCTTTTCTTCTGTCAAAGCAAATACTCTAGCCTTTCCCTTCTTAAGATGATCACCTTCTCTCTTCTTCTCTGGACATTCTCTAAGGAAATGACCACTCTTACCACAACTGTAGCATACTCCCTTTCCCTGAAGACACTCACCCAAGTGTCGCTTGTTGCAATTGGAGCATTGAGGAAAAGTTTTATTTGAGTCTAACCCAATCTTTCCTTTCTTATCCTGGTTCCTACCTTTCTCCTTATCATGACCTTGCCACTTTCTCTTTACAGACGACTCGGTGCTGGGTTGGGTTTTCTTTTCCAGTCCTAAACCATTAGAGATTGCTTGTGCTCGACGTACAACCTCTGCATAAGTAGTATACTGCTGGGCTGCCATGATTCCCTTGATCTCTGGCCTTAACCCCAGCTCAAACCTTTTAGCCTTTGTCAGCTCAGTGTTCACCATATGCGGTGCATACCTAGAAAGTCGTTCAAATTTTCTTTCATACTCCCCAAGTGGCAAATTTCCTTGCGTGAGCTGGAGAAATTCTACCTCCTTTTGATCTTTCAGTGAGTGGGGAAAATATTTACCCATCAGCGACTCCTTGAACTGATTCCAAGTGAGGTTACGTTGTTGTTCTGTAGTTCTAGTACGTGTTTCAGACTCCCACAATGTCCAGCATCATCGGTCAACATAAACTTTGCACAAGAAACCTTTTGAGCATCATTGCAGTTCATGTGCTCGAAGATTCCTTCAAGTCTTCTCAGCCACTCCTCAGCTGCAAAAGGATCACCTTTACCATCAAAGGACGGAGGTTTAAAGCGACGAAACTGTTCAACAATTGAGCTCATGGTGTTGGCACCTCCTGTTGCATTATGAGGTGCCGCTTGAGCCTGCTGTCTGCCCAAGTCTTGAACTGCCCTTAGTAAATCTCTGAACATAGTAGCTTGATCTTGTTGTCGTCGTGCCATTTCCTTGAAGTAAAAGTAATTTATCTTAAGAACTGCTCAACCATACTACACTCTTCCTAAAGGTTTTTCTATATTTAGTCATGTCTTTCGTGTATGTTATGCTAAGGCCAAGTGTTATGCACTAAGGTTCTAGTCATATAAGAATTGCTTTACTAATCATACAATCCTACACAAAATAATCATTTGCTTAATTAACATTCTCCCTTAAAGTAAAATGACGTGTAGAAAAAAAAATCATGCAATTAACTAGTATGCACTGAAATATAAATATCAATAAAAATATTCTTCATCCTTACATACCTTAAAATATTGGACAGTGGTAGATTGATGAGCATTGGATTCCATGGATCTCGTAACTTATAAATTTTTGTAAATTTTTTTTTTGGTATAAAAGTTTCTAAAATGAAAGAAATTTCTAAAATTGTAGTGGGTTTAAAACATTATTTTTCGTCTTATCGATTTGAATAACGCGCAACTAAAAAGGCTTCCAGGTGAGGAGAGGGGTCACAAGTGGACCGCTTAAATCTCAAGCTCGCCTTAGACAGTTTAGGTCTTTTTGACAAAGCCTCTTAGTTTTACGAATACTCAAAGGAAGAAAACTCAAACAATGAATCTCCCAAAAAGATTAAATATATATAGCTTTTTTTTTTTTTTTCAAAATTTTTAAATTTTGAAAATCTACAGGAAGTAAACCATTGCTCTGATACCAAGCTGTAACGCCCCGAATTCTCTAGCAACCGGGAACGTTACCAAACGTGAATTGATTAATAAAGTGCTTGAGGCAAATACATTTTAATATAACGAGGAATTCAGTAAAAATTGAACTACCTTAACAAAAGGTAAATTAAATTAAATAACATATGCGGAACAATTTGGAATCATATCTTTTATCAAACATTAATAAAAGTAGTTCTAACAAATAATAAAAATAGGGCGAATTGAAAGTTATGACGTGACTCACAATTGAGTCTAAATTTAAAAGTAATAATAATCAACTATTAATAAATATTCTAGTGTTTTTAAAAATTAAAGTACTTCATGATGGAGATCCATTGGTCCAATATGCATCCATCCACCGCTGTCCAGCATACTAATTTCTACCTGAAAATTGTAAATAGAGAGGGATGAGTATAACGAATTATACTCAATGAGATACTTGCTACTCCACATTCAGATCAAACGTGAAATTATGCATAAATTCTCTTACCAACATAACATGAGAATTATCACACCATGACAAATGATAATTCAAGCAAGCGCTGCAAATAACGTGAAGGCTAAATTGTGCCTTAAACTGTATCATGATTTCTCCCAAAGGAGCTCTGAACTGGAGTAATTAAATCCATACATAACAACGTATTTGAAAAGATGTGGACAAACCACTAATAGCACTGAGCATCTCACCTTACGTAATGAATCTTGTATTATAATATGCACTTGGAAAGAAAATTGTGGGAACTTGTTTGCTAAGATTTTTCTCTTGGTTGCTTGTGAAATTGAATTAAATATAGTAGACTGCTGTGGGTGGGTATAAGCCTTAGTAATATAGAGGAAAATTTAGAGAGGAAGAGAATAAAGACGTACAGAAGCAGTCTGCAGAAATAGGACTTAATTACTGAATGCTTAAGGTCCGATTTATGTCATATATATACTAAAATATGGGACAGGGACTGCAGGGTAGTAGTCACGTTAGGATTTATTGCGGCAGTAGAGTTCAACCCAGGTTTAACTTCTCAATTCCCAGTTGCATTCTTCCCGGAATTTGGAATGGTCTTCGATTTTGATGAATTTGATTGTTTATTGGTTTTGATGAGTTCTAAATCAGCAACTATTAAAATAAAGAGACTTTATCCTTTGCACACGTGAACATTAGGATAAATTGAGTTTCCTAATAGAATTAAATAACTAATATTTTATACATGGTAATTAACTATTAACCATAAACTCAATTAATTAGGTAATATACTACATAAATATTATGAGGAGTTTGTTAGGAACTGAAGTATTTAATGGCGTGCACAGGTAGTATAAACTTGCTACGGCAGAAGAGTTCAATTAATGTTTTAAGCTCTCAAATTTCCGTGCTCACATCCCAGAAATTGGACTAAAATCCTACTTATTAATCTAATTGGAGGTTTCTAATTAAGATTGGTAAGTTAAATAATCAATTACAATTATCACTGTACATCTTGTGCACACGTGAAAAGGTTAGATAAATTGGATCTCTTAATTGCATGAGTAGACATATTTTATTCTAATAAAACAACTTAAATAGATAAATAATTACTCTCTTGTCTTCGATTAAATCAAAATAATGGAAGAGTGGTTCAAATGAAATAACTTAACTAGTTTAATTAATTGGAGTCCTAATTATTTTAACACTAAAATTACTAGGAAACTTCATCATAATCCGAATCCTACATGATTAAGAACAATAGTTTCTAACCTAATTAAAGTAGATTAGCATTAAAAAGGAATTTAATAGTTTCCAGAAAATTAGTATGATTACGTTTTAATCAATTATCTTTAAATTTCATAATTATCAATACTTAACATATTTTATTCCTAGTGGCCGAGAATTGTAAAATGTGTGCATAGTAATTAAATTAGAATTTCATTTATACCTTGATTCTTCCATTGATTCCATCTTAATTCAACTTTTCCAAAATATCATTTTCTTAATCCTAATATATATAATTAATTATTATCTATTAAAGGAGTCCAATATTGATATACTAATTTAGTCCATATTGATAACTAATATTATTAACTAAGTAGTTTTCTTAATTGGCTATAATTCAAGTTTAACGAATCCAAATTGAATTTTTCTTGAGTCCATAATTCGTCATTTATTACGAGCTTCAAAATGAGCCCAATATTGATAGGGTAATTCTAACTCCTTCAATAATTAACTATTTGGCCTATTTAATAAAGATATAAAATTTGAAACTTATTTTCACTTGGTCCCTCGACTATAAAGATATTCATTTACATCCAAATTAACTATAGAGATAACCAATTAACTTGTATAAGGACTTAACTAAACATTGCATTCCTATTAAATAAATTAATGCTTAGTAAAAATTTGGGATTTTACAAGTAGATGGAAATACTCATGATTAGGGCCAATATGGTGGAGGATCGGGAGGCTACCATGGCACGATTCTTGAATGCGTTGAATAGGGAAATTGCCAATGTAGTGGATTTGCAACATTATGTGGAGTTGGAAGACATGTTGCATGTGGCTATGAAGGTAAAGAGACAGCTGAAGAGGAAAGGGGCAGCTAGGCAGCCCTTAGGAACTTCGAGTGTTAATCCATCTTGGAAGCCAGGGTGGAACATCAACAACAAAGGTGATAAAGCAGTACCTAAAGGTAGGAATGAGTGACAGAAATGGAAAGAAGAAAGTGCTAGCAAAACAGCACCCAAAACAGATTCACAACCATCAAGGAATCGAGACATCAAGTGTTTCAGATGCTTGGGCTCAGGACTCATTGCTTCTCAATGCCCAAATAAACGGGTAATGGTTTTGTTGGATAGTGGAGAAGTGGTGAGTGAAAGTGAAGGAGAGTTTGAGGACATGCCTGCATTGGAGGACGTTGAAGAAGAAGAAAAATTGGAGTTTGCTGTTGGGGAATCGTTGGTGTCAAGGAGAGCTCTTAACACTCAAGTCAAAGTGGATGATTCGGAGCAGCAACAAGAAAATATATTCCACACACGTTGTTACGTCAACAATGAGGTATGTAGTGTGATTATTGATGGTGGGAGTTGCACGAATGTAGCTAGTACAACTTCAGTTGAGAAATTAGGACTAGCATTGTTAAGACACCCTAAGCCTTATAAGTTGCAATGGTTGAATGAAAGTGGGGGAAGTTAGGATGAATAAAAGAGTTTTAATTAATTTCTCAATCGGGAGTTATAGTGACTAAGTAGTATGTGATGTGGTGCCTATGCATGTGGGTCATATCTTATTAGGAAGGCCATGGCAATATGATAGAAGGGTCACACATGATGATTATAGGAATCGTTATAGCTTTGTCAAGGATGGGCAGACTATTACTCTTGCGCCATTAACACCGACACAAGTGTATGGAGATCAAATCAAGCTGAAAAGTGAGGAAGACGAGAGAATAAGAGTGTCAGGAAAAAGGAGAGGCAATAGTGAAACCATCATTAAGAGAGAAAATAGTGAGGTGGCTGAGAGTGGAGAAAAGAGAGAGAAGCCAGATGAGCAGAGAGAAAAAGAGTCAGTTGAGAGGAGAGAAAAGCCAAAGGTGAACTTCTATGCAAAGGAGAGTGAGTTGAAAAAGGCTATGAGCGATAATAGGTAAATGATATTGTTAGTGTACAAGGAGTCCCTCCTCAATTTCGAGGATTCTAACACATCCCTCCCTAGTTTGGTTAAGTCTTTATTGCAGGAGTTCGACGATGTGCTTCCTGAGGAGATGCCAAGTGGATTGCCACCAATCAGAGGCCTTGAGCACCAGATTGATTCTGTACCTGGAGCTGTCATAACGAATCGACCAACTTACCGAAGCAATCCCGAGGAGACGAAGGAGCTTCAAAAGCAAGTGGAGGAGTTGATGAGCAAAGGTTATGTCAGAGAGAGCATGAGTCCATGTGCTGTACTTGTTTTGCTGGTGCCTAAGAAGGAGGGGACTTGGAGAATGTGTGTGGATTGCCGAGCTATCAACAATATCACGGTAAGTATCGTCACCCAATACCTAGGCTAGATGATATGCTTTATGAGTTGCATGGTGCTTGCATTTTTAGTAAGATTGATCTTAAGAGTGGGTATCATCAAATTCTCATGCTGGAGGGTGATGAATGGAAAACGGCGTTTAAGACTAAGTATGGATTATATGAATGGTTAGTTATGCCGTTTGGACTCACTAATGCACCGAGCACTTTTATGCATTTAATGAACCATGTTTTGCGTGCTTTTATTGGAAAATTTGTTGTAGTTTATTTTGATAACATCTTAATCTATAGCAAAAACCTAGATGAGCATTTAGAACATTTAAATTGTGTGCTTGTTGTGTTGCGAAAGGAACAACTAGATGCTAATTTCAAAAAGTACACATTTTGCATGGATAGAGTTGTTTTCCTAGGATTTGGGGTTAGTGTTAACGGGGTGGAAGTCGATGAAGAAAAGATAAAAGCTATTAAAGAAAGGCCAACACCTAAGACTATAACTGAAGTTAGGAGTTTTCATGGATTTGCTAGT